GCCCCCCCTCCCCACCACTCCCTCCCTGGCGGCCGCGCGGGGGCGCGTGGGGCTGGGCGCCTAGCCAGAGGCGCGAAGGCTGGGCGCTAGGCTCGCAGGGAGGATGGGGCCCCCTCGGCCCCCACCCGAGCTCCAACAAGTGGATGGGGCCCTCAGGGGAGCGACGGGGAAGGGAACAGGTGGGGGCGGGCGGGTCTTCTTGCAGGCAGCTGAGTCCTTCCAGAGGAAATTCAGAAAGAGTAGTGGGGGCCGGATTTGGGGAGACAGCTAAAGGCTGATCCTCTACTCTAGGCACAGAGAAAAGGCGTGTCATCTAGAGAAGTAGAGCTATCCCAGCACATCTGGGCAGCCAGGTGGCACCTCTGAGGGACAGTGCACCCTGGCACATGAAGGAATTAGGGGGTCTGAATCCTGGAGAGGAGGCTCTGGGGGGTACACTTGAAGATGCAGCCACGTTTGGCTAGGACCCTCCACACCTGGTGGGAGAAATCAGAATGGATAAAGGGAAGGAACGGATTGAGGCTGGGGGGCTGTCCTCACATCTGGCCCCGGGCCCACATCTGGAAGACTTTAGGGAGGAGGGGATGTATCTGGCTGAAGGCTACAGCACGAAGGGGACTTCTGAAAGTGGCTTAGATTAGAGGGTGCTGTAGCCCGGGGGTCGGGATCTGGAGGAGGAGGAGAGCAGGGGCCAAGGGAAGGTCCGGGAAAGAGTAGGGGAAGCCTTTGGCCTTCAGCCGCCCCGCAATGTTGGGCATTCCGTGCCCCGGCAGGCGCCAACCCGCACAATCGCTTTTGTTGTCTGGGCTGGTTCGGCCTCGCTCTCTGCTGGCCCAGCGCCTCTCTCTTCGGCCGCGGGAGCCCGGACGCCTGGCTTCCCGGCCCCACCCTGATGGGTCAGCGCCTCTGGCCTGCGTCTAGTTCTGTCCCGGGCTCACCTCGCACAGCCGGACGCTGGGGTCCCTAGAGGTGGCCGCGTCCTGGGGGGTGGGGTGGGCTGAGCTACAATGGGGGGCGGGTAGGCGGCAGCTGGACCGTGGGAACCAGACGGCTTTATCTGGCCCGGAACCCCCCTCCCCGCCGCCGCCCCCCGAGCAGAGGAAGGGCGGATGTTCTTACCCCGGCCCTGGCCCGCAGGGGCGCGCTGTAGGGGCCTCCTTTTCAGCAGTGCTCGGGCCCCTGGCCCTCGGGGCCGTCGACGCCTCAGTAGAGCTCGGGCCTCCTGCAACCTAGGTGGGTGGGGGTGGATAAACGGCTGTCACCGCAGTTAGGCTGACACCCGCCCCCCAGGCAAAGGTCCCCTAGGCCAGGAGACAGTCTCCTAGCAGCAGCTCTGCCCAACACACAGCCCTAACCTAACCCGGTTGCAGAGAACAGGCCTTAGGAGTCCCTTAAACTCCTGGAGAGAAAGACAAAAGACCATGCAAGAAAGAGAAAGGAAAGAGAGACAGAGGAACAAGAGAAGAGACTTAGGTACAGAGGCAGGGATGGGGTGTGTAACTGTGAGAGACACAGAGAGATGAAAGGATGTAAGGAAAAGAACAGATACAGAAAAAAGGACCTGGAGATAGAAACAGACAGGGAAAAGTAGAAATAGATACAAAGATACAGGCAGATAGAGAAAGACAGACCCGGGCAGGGGCAGCCAGCCCAGCTGCGGTGAAGCAATATAATTCCAGCACTCTGCGAGGCTGAGGCAGGAGAATTGCAAGTTCCAGCCCAGCCTGCAAGACCTTATCTTAAAAGACAAACAGCAAAGGGCTGGGGATGTAGCTCAGTGTGAAGGGCCTCATTTCAATCTCTAGAACAGTGAAAGAGAAAGAGAAGGAGGAGGAGAAGAGAAGGGAGCAGAGAGAGGAGAGGGAGGCAACAGTGGGAAAGATAAATGTTCCCGGGTGAGGATCTGGTAGGAGGAGGAGGAGGATTGCACACTCACGTCAGTGGCTGCCAGTTGAGAGACACCTGCCTCTTCCCCAAGCCGGGGCCGGGGCTGGGGCCGGGGCTGGGGCTGGGGCTGGGACTTGGCAGTGATGGTATCTGGGTCACGCACTGCTGTAGGCCTGTGCACTTTTCAGATGGGCAGTTTCGGACCCTGCAGGAGGCTTCGGAGACAGCCAGGGACTAAGTAGGGACGGAGTGACTGAGTTCCTCCACCAAGTGCACCCAGCTGTGCAGCTGGGATGAAGGCTAGGTAAAGGAACCCCCAGCCCCTCTGCTTCTACACCTCCTTCCCATTCCCCACCTGGAAAAACCCACCTCGGATGCAGCGGCTCCTCCTAGGGATCTGGCCTAGGCAGCAGCGACAAGCAGCAAGGCTATAAACAGGGGAGTGGAAGTCACTCAGGCCCTAGCACCCCCAGAGCTCCCAAAAGGAGGGCAATGGGGCCAGGGAAAACCAAGATAAGGCCTAAAAGATCTCAAAATAGATATTTCTGTGTGCCTCAGTTTCCGCATCTGTACAGTGGAAAAGGAAATTTGTCTTACAATCTCCAGGAGTGAGAAGGCCACAGCAAATTTACTTTTATATGTCTTATGAAGTAGGTTTGGTGGTACGGTTTTTATGTGAAAAAAAAATTTTTTTTGAGAGAGGCTCTCCCACTATAGTTCAGGCTGGCTTTGACCTCACTATGGAGCCCAGGCTGGCCTCAAACTCAAGGTGATCTTTCTGTCTCAGCCTCCTGAGTGCTGAGATTACAGGTGTGCACCACCACACCAGGCTCTGGAAAAGATAATTTAAAGTCTCTTTGTGTGGGGGGTACTGGGGATTGAACCCAGGACCTTCGCACTGAGCCACACCTCGGTCCATTAAAAATATTTATTTTGAGACAACATTTCAATAAGTCACTAACTTGCCCAGGCTAAGCTTCAGTTTATGAACCTCCTGCTTCAGCCTCCCAGAGTGCTGAGATTACAGGCTTGCGCCAGCCAGTATGTCCGACATTTAAAACTCCTCTTAAAAAATATTCTTAAAAAAAATAATCTAAGAAGAGTATGTGCATTTCCAAGCCCAAACTGTCTGAGATCTAGAACTCCGCCCTCCCGCACGTTCCCGTGGTGTAGGATGTCTCGCACCATCCTAGGGCCTGGCCAGGAGGTGGCGCCACATCCACAGACCTCTGCTGCTGCGGACCGCCGCATCCCCTTGACCGGGTAGCAGGGTGCTGAGGTGGAACGCGATACCGGAGTCATACACCAAGACTAGGAATCCTGAGGCCCCAGTTCTAGCCCGTTCTGTCCTTCCACGCTGAGTGTCCTGGAGCCAGCGTCTCTTTGCCTTTGGGCCTGTTTCCTGCTTAACTAGGAGGATGGAGTCGTTCCTGGAGAGGTCTGCGACCCCAGAGGGTCTCAGTGGCCGAGCCTCCAGCTCCAGCTCCAGCAAAAGTGCCTCGACACCAAGGGGCTCCCCAGACAAGTCCATTATCCCAGCCCGAGGGGGGCGAGGGACGAAGGTGCGCCCTCAGGCTGCGAGGGGGGACCGGTGGAAGATGCTGAGCAAGGGACACCCAGCGCGGGGGACCTCTTGCAGACCCCCCCATTGTCCAGTGGGGACAAGGCCGCCAGAGGGGAGCCTCCGAGACCCCCAACTCTGCCGTCATCCCTCCCGCCCTTTCTCCGGGTTAACCCCTTCCGGGCCCCGCCCCCGGCGCGGCTCGGGTTACTAAACGCATTCGCAGAGACCCGAGGCTGGAGCCCAGCCCCGGGCCTTTGTAACTTAGTTCAGGGCTGCAGGGCGGGAGTGGGGGTGCAGGGCAGACTTCGCTTCGGTCTCATCACCCGCAGACAGGAAAGGTGGCTATAACCCCCGATCTATAGGATATGCTGGATCTCGCCGTGAAATCGCCCGTACCCCATTCAACACTAGAGTCCTCTAATTCTAGGAAACTAGAGCATCCCCGATCCACCTAAAACCTGATGACCGCCCCCACTATTCCCCCAAGTCTCTCCGCCATCAACTTTAGAGTCCACGTCTTAATTTATTTGAAAAAACCCTAAGGTCCTTTTAATTAATCGAGCCTAGACTGTAATTAATCCCCAAATCCTAGAAATCCAGGGCTTCTCAACTCCCCCGAAAGTCGCTCCAGAACTTCCCAACCCCTTTTCTTCTTGAGCAGCTAAGACACTCGGGGAGCTCCATCCTCCCTCGAGGGCCCCACCCATCTTTTATTCTAGGAGAATTTAAACCTTCCCCTCCGTAGCAAATAGGGATCTTTCCCCAGTAAGCCCAGGATCCGCCGGAGCCTTGTGCATCCCGGGAAGGAGCTCCATCTCCTCAAAATCTCAGCACTCTCGGGATTCTTTCTCACACCTCCAAAATAGGTGCAGGCCCTAACACATCCCAGAGTCCTGGCCCTTCATCCTCCCTTCAAAGCAGTGGGTGCGTTGTCCCCTAAACCCGAGAGCCCTGGTCTTCTGCACAAGACTGACATGGAGAGGACGCAGGACAGAAAGGGCTGCAGCGGGGCTTACCCAGCAGGGCGGCCCGGGATCACCGCGACCTCGACGGCCTGGCCTGTGCTGGGGCTGGGGCTGGGGTTCACGGCGGCGGCGGCTGCGAGGAGCGGGAGCAGCAGTCCTAGCAGGAGGTGGCTGCAGGCGCTGGGGCCGGGCCGCCGCATCGTGCCGAGTGCCGAGTCCGGCTCGGCGCGGGCCAGCCGTCCAGCGTCCAGTGGGTCTCGCTACGCGAGGCTCCGCCCCGCCCCCGCGCCCCCCCGCCCAGCCCCAGGCCGACTCACTTTCTCCAGCGCTCGCGCCGCAGGGGCTGCGAACTTCCCGCCAATCAGAGCCCTGCGCTGCCAGCGGCCCCCGCGCGGCCAATCGGGAGGTGACAAGGGCGGGGCTAAGCGGACAGGTGCTGGGCGGGGGCAGGGACCCTCGAGGTCCCCGCGGGACAGGAAGAAGTCCGGAGTCGGGTCCTGACCCTGTGAATCCTCTTGGAGGGCAGGCCTCAGGTGAGGGGGGGTTCTCACAACTGGGAGGCATGCGGAGGGCAGGGCAGCGTCCCTAAATTAGACTCCTGCCCAAGCTCACAGTTCTGGGAGAATTCGATCGGAATTCTGGGAACCCCCACGGCGCCCACTGCTCAAAAGAGGGACTAAGGATCCGGGAACGGAGTGTGAATTCTGCGCTAGGCCCCAGGTCCCGCCCCTTTGTGAGTCTCGGGTCCCCTAAACGTCGCCCAAGGATTTGGTTCTTCCCAAGGACCTGTCCTTCAGGGCTCCAGGCTTGTTCCTCCCAAGCTCTGCCCCTCAGGGGACCCAGGTTCAGCCCTGACACACAGACTCCTCCTACACAGAGCGCCCACTCCGCCCCCTCTCCGCTGCCATCCGCAGAAGGTACCGGACGGCTCCAGGAATTGCAGGCTTTTCCCATACAGTCCTGGTACTTTTCTTTCCGAAGACCTCCTCTTTTAAGGCCCCGAGCCAAGGGGGGCCTTTGACCCATTCCCACCCCCTTTATTGGGTTCCAGGCTCCAACACCGGCGCGGAACCTCCAAACTCACAGGGTCTCAAGTGCAGCCCCTTCCCTTTATTGTAAATCCTTTTATTCTACATCCTCTTCTGTTTTAACCACAAGCCCCTCCTCTCTTCTCCCAAAGGCTCCGCCCCCAGAGCTGCAGACCCCGCCCCCAGCTGCCTCTTTTTCTCCCAACCTCAGGCCACACCTCTTCCCAGAGAGAGTTGGACTTGTCCTACCCTTCGGGTCCCATGCACCACCCTTTCTATGCGTGCCCTGTTTCTGGTTCCTATCCCCACCTCTCTCAGCAGTTTGATGCTTAAGGTTTCCATTTCTGGAGTGTTAGCTCCGCCCTTGGGTATACCGAGCTCGCTCGCTCGCTCTCTCTCTCTCTCTCTAACTCTCTAACACACACACACACACACACACACACACACACACACACACACACGCACACACACACACACACACACAGTACTAGGGCCACAGGCCCTGTCCTCTGGGCCTTCCGCGAACCGAACAGCAAGTGATCCGACTTGGCCCGTCCCATGCTCTGCTAGTAGAAGGTGTGCGGTGTGGATGGGAATTCCTTCACCCTCCCTGTGGTGAGACACACGATGATTCACAGCCACACGCACACCGATACTGCCATCTACAGTAATGCACGCCTCCGTCCCACACTGACACCTAGAAATCTGGGCCTACCCACCGTGCAGGGGCCCACAACCCCCGGAGCAGTAACAATGGCACTCACGCCTCGTTCTCGGGCATTTGTGGGCTGACCCAGCAGGAGGACCTGGAGTGCCCGGCTCTACCCGCTGACCGTGCTCCATGCCCCTACCTTTATGCGGCCCCTAGATCCCTGTTCACTTAGCCCTGCAGGACACCGTGTCCCTCACCCATTTCCCCTCTCCCCACTTCCTACCCTGTGGCTGGAGCATTTGCTGGGGCGCTGCCGAAATTTCTTCCTTCTGCCTGCGATCCAGGGCATCGTCAATACTCGTTGCTAGGCAACGGCCTCTGGCTCACCACTGCAACTTCCGGGGATAGCTTTGGCTTCCCATCCCCCCAGAATTTGGAATCCCCAGCTTCCAGTCCCCGTTTTCCTGGATTGTGTCTGTCACCCCTGGGCCCTGATTGATCTCAACCCCTAAAAACCCATCAACTCTAGATCCCTGGCATTCCAGAAGCTTCGCCCTATGATTCTCCTCTCCACTTGTTTTATCCCTGTTTTTTTTTTTTTTTTTTTTTTAAAAAAACAAGGTCTCATCCTATAGTTAAGTCTGGTCCTCTTGAAGTAACAAGAATAAGACTACGTACTTACTATGTAGCCCAGGCTTGCCTTGAACTCAGTGATCCTCCTGCCTCAGCCTCCCAAATGCTAGGATTACAAGTATGAGCCACCACACCCGGCTATCCTTAGCATTATTTAAAAACAAAACTCTTCAGTGTTCTAGATTTAGCCATCTTCCGTATCTGTTACCTCTATCATCATGAGTGTTCCAGAAACATGAGTTCCCCGGTATAGAAAAAATGACCTCAATATTTTGGATCTGTATTACAAGACCTCCTCATATTTTATATTTCCTGATATTCTATATTCCACATATATACTCTCTAAAATTCCTCACATTCAAACATCCCCCAGTATTCTGAAAGTTCTGGCCTATAAAAAAAAAGTGGAGTTTGACATGCACAGGCATTCCAGAACACCTAGGTTTTAGAACAGCTCACCTTTTAGGTCTCCCGTGTGTGTTCTAGATTCTCTGATCCAGAACCCCATGCCAGTATGAATTTCCTGAAATGCTAACAAACCCTCTCGTGTTCTGAAAGGGCTGACAGTCCAAAATATGTCCCACTCTATAGATAGCCCAGGAATCCAGATTCTCTTCTACATTCTATCATTCTTAGCATGACAGAAGTGTGGACATGCAAAACACTCCCGGGCAGACAATCACAGGTATCTCTTGACACCTCTGCTACAGTCAGTGACCTTCCAGGCCCTTTGTGTCAGAAACAGCAAGTCTGTCCTCTCTGATGTGCAGGGGAGAACCCTAATATTGTTCATCCATGAGCACTCCAGAATTGCCCTGGGTTCTAGATTCCCTAGACCCTAAGTTCCTCTCCACTATGCTTGAGCAGTTCTGGCATTCCCAAAACTGGAATTCTAGTTAGTATGTTCTAAAATCCCCTGTTCCTAGTCTGGCCCACTTTCTCTCCTCTGCACTAGGCCAATGCAAAAAAATGCCATAAACCTCCCCGAGGAAGTGCCAGAGGGACCAACATGACGGGGGCGGGGGATCCTAAAGCTATCAGGCTAGGGTGAGCTGAACCTGTCCCCCACCCACTGGAATGAAGTGAGGGACTAGGCAGCCAGGAATGCTGGGCAAGGTATGTGTAGTGGCAAGATCTGTGGTACAAATGCTCAGGATGAAACAACTGCAGGGGATATAGCTCAGTGGCGTAAGTGCTTGCTTAGCATGCCTGGCAAGTCTGAGGTCGAGTTCGATTCCCAATACTAAAAAAAAAAAAAAAAGAGAAACAACTGATTTGCCACCTGGGTTTCTGCCACTTATAGACATTCATAGGGGCACCCCTGCCTGAGGTAATAGCACTCCACACTCTTTTTAGGAACTCTTCCACTCTGCCCACAGGGGGCTGACCTCACCTCCTAGCTCTGAGGGCTCCCAGCGATCCAGGCCGGGACAATGAGCACCCTCACCACGCTAATCATAGTGGTGGAGTCAGGAGTGGTGACCCCGCTCAATTTAAGCCAATGAGAGTCAGTCCTGTGATTATGTTTGCTGCAGAGACAGACAGACAGACAGACAGACAGACAGACACACACACACACACACACACACACACACACACACACGGATACGGAGAGACAGGGACAGACAGGGGCAGAGGCAGACATTGCTAAACAGGAGTCATGATGCTTGGTGGGGAAAACCTGACTGAAGATGATGCATCTGAGAGGAAAGCAAGAGGTGGAAAGACATTCTGAGTGTTTGAACCCTGGATCCGGCCATACCTGAAGCCACACTGTAAGCCAATACATTCCCTTCTTTAATTAAACCAGGAGAGGCAGATAAATCTATAGCGGAAAAACCTGGTTGGCTCCTGTATCTTCCCCAGCCCTTCCCTGGGGATCCCCAAACTCACTAAAAATGTAAACAAGGTGATGGCAGTGACAGTTTTATTAGGGGGCTGGCTTTGGCTTCCAGAAAAGGGGGAAGATGGGGACCTGGTAACAGTGATCACTCTAAGGAGGCCCTGGCCCTGAACCCAGGGCTTCAATAGGAAGCAGGGAGGCACCTGAGTCCCCCAGGATCGGAGTATCCAAAGGCACCATGGCATGTGTTCAAAAGGAAGTCTCGTTGAGCTTCTTCTTGGGAGGCGTGAGGGGAGCCCCAAGACCCGTGGAGGGCCGAGGGGCTGGAGTTGGCGGTCTTCGGAGCTCGGGTGGGCGCCGCACCAGCTCCTGGCAGCGCTCCGCAAAGCTGCCACCCCCAGGGCGCCGGGCCTCCGCCTGCGGGGGGCTGGGGCTCCCACGGTGGCCAGCCAGAGAGGTGCTGCTGGAGGCTGAGTGCAGACTGAAGGGGTGGGAGGGTCAGCGCTGGGCAGCAGGGCCAACCTCCCCCCAAGGCCATTCCCTCCCTGCCAGGCACATGGGAAGACGACTGGGCCGCTGCAGCTACCTGGTGAGGGAGGCCCGGGGGGAGGGGCTGGGCAGAGAACTCCTAGAGGAAGCCAGCGGGGCCAGCTCGCACTGCTCCAGCTGTCCCATCAGCTCCTCCTCCGTCAGGCCACCTGCTGTGGGGTGAGAAAGCAGGGTCAGGCCAAGGCAGTGAAGACGGGCAAGGGGCGGGACCACGGTCCAATGCCCAGGGTTGGGAGAGGCTCGGAAGGTAGGGCAAGGAGGGGCTGGAGGGCCAGGAAAAGCGGTCAGAGAGCAAGGGCTTGCGAGGAGAGATCAGGCCAAAGTCGGCGGGGATTCGGGTTCGGTGCGAAGCTGCGCCTGGGCAGGGCGAGGCGGGGCCGGAGTACCCGGGGCCTGGCCGAGGCCATCCATTGCGGTGGTCAAGTCCCACATGGCCAGGCTACCGTTGGCCTGGCCGGTGAGCAGGTAGCGCCGGGGCCGGGAGCCCAGCCGCCGGGAGCCCTCACACTC